CTCGCCTGCGGCTCGAGATTGTAATTCCCATACAACACGGCCGCTCATGTTGTAAACTATACTTATAGTGATTCTAAAAATACTCTTTCAAACAATGTAAATTTTACGCTTGATAAACGAGAACAAGACAAAAGCTTACCACTCTAAAACCACTTGACAATATATGTCATTACGACTGTTATTAAAGCTTATCCTTCTTTATGGCAAAAGTATTGATAACTGAACAAAAGTTGTTTGGGAATAATATAGCTAAGTCCGATGGAATGAGAAGTACGTAGGTAAAGGTATCTAAAGGCGCCTTTGTAAGGTTACTCCCCAACAAACGGCGGACAAAATGTCTTTTTTAAACTTGGTCGCTCCGCATCAAAAATGTTTGTATATAGCCTCCTTCGCAGGCTACTCCTCCTGATTTTCCTTCCTTCCTAGCCCCCTCCCCCTCCGGCAGCTTTTTGTCTTAACACAGGAACCCCACGGAGTAGAGTTGCCTGCGAACGAKGCTATATTAGTTTAATCATTAAGCCTTTTTGTGTGTTTATGATAATATTGAGACCACAAGCTTACCAGACTATCGAGAAGAGAGGTCGGCTCCAGGCCTCCTATGGCGATTATCGGCAAATCACAAATCGTGATTTACTTCACTGGGGCTCGCGATCATTTACCCATGAAAAACGCATCGCACGGCAAAAAGAAYCACAAATCCAGTCAGAAAGCATTAAAGTTTATAACTAAAAAACCAGAATATAACCCCCCAAAATAACCAAAATATCGATGTTGAAAATGACCTAATTTGAAGAGATTTCAACGGCTTTCGGCCATAGGATGCCTGGAGCCGACTCTTCTCGATAGTTTGGTAAGCCTGTGAGAATACCGGACATTTTAACACCAGAATATAGACCCTTTTACCGATCTCTTTTGCGCTGTGTTAGCCTCAAAAACATGTAATAAATTATTTTATTCACTAACAGCCCGTGCAAATGCAAAAGATCCGTGAGTATAGAAGACAATGGAAATAGTTTTCACGCTTTATCTGAATTTCACGTGTTTTATCTGAATGAATATTTTGCACACMATACTCCAGTTTCGAATTCATAGCGCAAAACCGCTGCTTTATTTGACAACAGATTCTCTTGCGCAAAGACCTTACAAACACAAAAGAGAGCACGAGAAAATGTCGTTATTACAATAGACTTGAAAATTTGCATTTACGTCGAGTTGAAACTAACCCTATATTCCCATGAGACCTAAGGTATGAGCCTTCTGGGAATACAGGGTTAGCCTCAACTCGGGGAAAATGTAAATTGTTAGCGCTATTGTACAAGCAACATTTTCTCGTGCTTTCTTTTGTGTTTGGTAAGTTCTTTGTGTAAGAGAATCTGCTGTCAAATAAAACAGCGGTTATTCGCTTTTAATTCGAAACTGGAGTATTGAGGCTAACACAGCGTAAAAGAGATCGCGAAACTCAACTATTGTCAAAAATATTGTGGTTYATGCTAATCTACTATCACAGCGAAGAGTTGTTGCTATTTTATAAAAGCATTAGTCAATATATATTGATACTGATTCCATTCTCTCTGTTAAAACATTTTCAGCTCGTGATTCAAAACCTTTCTCGTGTTCTTCCAACAATCCCACGTGTTTCTGACAGAAAATGGAAAAACGGAAAATATTAAGTACGACACTTTGGCACTTGGCAAGTCCTAGAGTAAAGTAAAAAAATAATAATTAGGTATTACACTGGAAACCTTGAGATCACCAGTAACTAACCCTTTTCTCCGGCGAGGGGGGAAGTTTACCCGTATTTACATGTTCGTTTAAATTACGCATGCATGGATACGAGGTAGACATATGATGGCAATATGACATATGTGAAATCATGCACGTCTTTTGAATAAACTGCGAGATAAGCATGCTCACATAACAGTCCCAGTAGACGGTGTACCTTAAGGTTTCTATCACACTTTAATAGTCAAGATTTGTTTCACGGGTTTTTAAAAACATCACTTTATTAAAATAATATATAAAAGATCGAAACAGAGTACAAACATTAAATGTGTGCAACACTTTCAACTATTTACTACAAAATAGTGTTAATTAAACAATAGAAAACAATAGAATTAGCATAATTTAGCAKWATTTAGTGGTATTTATGTTGCACAGTTTTAGTGTTTGTTCTCTAATATGAAAATACAAAATACAGTTATGTGCGAATTCTGTTTTTCCTTTCGGTTGTAACATTTTGTTACATTTTTGTTTTCGTTCATTGTTACATTCATTTCAACYTTCTAGTCATCGCATAAATACACCATYATKTAGCAAACAYGAGGCTTCAGCAATAAGCCTTTAATTTGTTGGTATGCTACAGAATATGATTGAACAMCGAAGCAGAATTTGTTAACGAAGAGTGGAAATCAAATGAAATTACATACGATAAACCCGAAATAATGGTATATCTTAGCAGACAGAATTGTTGCAAATGATTGCAATAAACAAATCACTATTACAACACAATTATTTACTAGTATCCACCAAACTATCCACTAACAAATCAAGCGTTTTCATTGGCTAATGAACAATGGTACATTCATGATAGACCATGTTCTCATCGAATAATGCGAAAATAGTGGAAAAAATGTTAAATGTCAAGACAAAATTGCTTTTTATGGTAAGTTGCCATTAGTTTGATGGATACAAAAATAATTAGACGACTATGCCTCGTGAACTACGCGCCAAGTACGGGCTCATAGACAATCAACTCGTAGTCCACTYGACCTYGATGTCTAATTATTRATTATACAAATTACCACCGATGAATATATTTATATTGCTCACTTGCTCACACGGTAACGCTATCTACACAGCGATTCAGGCTAAGAGAACTGTAAACCTTCCATACTTAGGGGTCATAAAAGATAATGAAATTAAAAAAGCTAAAAAAAAAGTAAAAAAGTTATCATAAATGTAATGCTATACTTGCTATTCCAAGCCATAAGCGGCTTCACGCAGGTTATGAAACTATTATAAACTTGTATTCACAATGTTTTTCATAGGTTTATAGTCACATCTTCGCCAATGAGGACAAAAGGAGCCCAGAAACTCGGTTCTTCGTATTGCTTCATCTCTCTCATTTCTTTCATGGTTTGTTGGAGACTTCTACTAGCACTCTTCCCTTGCTTTAATTGCGCGTAGAACTTCTGCATGAACACTCTCGTACCTAAGTCATCTACAGCCCACAAAGAAGCMACAACAGCTAGGGCGCCGGCAGCAAGAAAGGCTCGACTCATTCCAATCACACCCTCTGATTTGATCTCACCACGACCGCTATGGCAGCAGCTCAACACAACAAGTCTTGCTCGAAGTCCAATCTCTTSCACTTCATTGATTGTTAACAGATAGTCGTCCTCTGAAGGTATGGTTTGTGTTCCCTTTAGAGATTCGGGTGGACTGAGTACTATTTCTCCACTGTCTGCACATCCATGTGTTGCAAAGTGGATGACAGCAACACCTTCCCTGAGYYGTTCCTTGACAACTTGCTTGGTTGCTTGTTCTCCTATTAGTGCATTCACGCCAAGGACTTTAGCTATCTCTTCAGCTTCGCGTCGAGCATTTGGCAATGCAGAGAAAGATATTGCAGTGTCTTTCAACATTCGTTTTCCCTCGACGTCAGGATCGCCAATGATAAGTGCACCTCTCATACTGTGTAAATCCGCTGGAGAMTCTTTCAGAATTGTTAATGTTGTCAAGGAGGGAACAATTCGAAKTCGTTTTGTCTCTGACCAATATTTCTCTTCATCACGATCTCGTAAAGCTGAGAATGGGATTTTAAACAAAGGTCCGTCAGGGACGATGATAATCTCATCTTGTGTCAACATGTGCTTTACTGGAGTGATCAGTGCATCAAAGAGCAACTCTAAATAGTCTCCGTCAAATTCTTCGTCGACAGTGTTTCTCTTGCCACTCCTAGCGCAAGTCGATTGTGCTTCAAGTGAGCTTTGSGCGGTTGAATCATCATTGATGGTGAATGATCTATTCTCACAGGTAGCTTCTCCTCTGACAGACATTGACACGTAGCTTTTATCAACGAGATGGAGAAGTATATCTTTGCTGTTAAGGATGTCTTCGTCAGAAAATCCKTCTWGAGAAAKCCCTTTGATTTCATTAAATTCATTGCGATAAAATGAAACGTGATCATTGTTTGAGTCAAGGATCCAAGTGCCAACAGTTAGCTCATTATTATTCTTTGTCAATCTCAGAAGATCAGAGAAAAATAAGATACACGACTCGCCCGACAAAACTTTACTCTTGATATCTGTATATCCAAGAAAGTCATAGACAGACTTCTCCTTTTTCGGCACTTTATACTTTGACGCCAGAATGTCTTCCAAGGCTCGACCCCTTTTACGTTCCGAGACGAGCATTGCTTTTTCTGCTTGTTCCGACTCGATGTAAAGTTCGAGAAGCATTTCGTATGTACTGAGGAACTTATCTGCTATGCTTATCTTGTACTGGTCGTGCTTACCAAGGTCTTCAAACACTGCATCGTACCACTTAAGGCTCTCTCGAAGGAAATGTTCTGCTTTTCTTAGCGTCAATGCTGAGTCATGATGTACGCATTTCTCTTTGTGCTGACAGGTTTTTCCAATAAGATACAGAGAAAATAGACCACCTCCAATGCTATTGCAAGCATTTCCAGCACCACTTTTGTCACCAATTGCTTCTGCAATATGAAGATGTTTCTCGTGGTTTTCAATTGACTTCAAGTAGTCTTTTGATGATGCATAAGCATAACCTATGTATTCATAGGCTCTTCCTTCTCCATGTTTGTCACCCAACTCTGCAGCTATCTCCGCGCTTCTCTTGTGAAAATTAATAGCTTCCTGATGTTTGCCTAATGCTAAATAAGCACTCCCTAAGTTTCTACAAGCCAATAATTCTCCTTGTTTATCGCCTATCATCTGAACAATTTCCAAATATTTTTCCTGGTACTCTATTGATTTCTTATAATCTCCTGATTGGTAACTTAGATGTCCTAGAATGCAGTATGATCGTGCTTCAGCCTCACGTTCTCCACTTTCAATCGCAATGTCCGCACTCTTTCTGTGATGTTTAATTGCTTCTGCTGCATTTCCTAATGCCTGATACGCATTTCCTAAGTTACAYTGCGCTTTTGATTCCAAAGACTTATCCTTCCTTTCTAAAGCAACACCTAAGCATTTTTCATAACAATTGATTGCCTCAGCGTACTGCCCTGTCATCAAATACAAATTTCCTAAGTTACAATGTACATTCCCCTCTGCTCGMCTATCACCCCTTTCTTCCAAARTTTGTATACACATTTTAAAGCATTCAATGCCCTTTTGGTATTGACTTAGYTGRCCGTGTAACCGTCCTAACGCACTGTATACCCGTTGTTGTTGTTGTTTGTCTACTATCTTACCTGTTCTATCAAGTAACTTCTCATAGCAAGTTACTGCCTGACCTAACTCTCCTGACAGTGAATAGGCAAGTCCTATCTTTTCGTACGATGTCAATTCTGCATTTCTATCTTCACTTTCTCTTGCTATGCTGAGGCTCTTATTGTGGAATTCTATTGCGCTTTTGTAATCTCCTAAAGCAGAATACGCATCTCCGAGATTTCCATACGCTCTTCTTTCCKCTGCCTTRTCGCCAATATCGCTGGCTGTAGCTAAATATTTGTTGTAGGATTCGATTGCCTCCTCATTTCTGCCTATTCCTGCATATGTACGTCCCATGTTTTGATAAGCACATTGCTGCCCATACTTGTCATCGATTTGTATTGCTACGCTTAAACTTTTTTCATGGCATCTTAGTGCTTCATCATCATCTTCGAGGCAAAAATGCGCGTTTCCTAAGTTTTTATAAGCTATAACCTCCCCCTTCTTATCGCCAGACATTTCACACATTTCAAGATATTTCTTGAAATATCCCAGTGACTCGCGATAACTCCTAAGCTCATAGGTATTAACCCCTATGTCACAAAATAAAGCTTTTTGGGCTTCCTTTTTATCAATTTTCACTGAGAATTCTAGGCACCCCTTGTAGTATTTCAATGCTTCCTGATATTTTCCTAATCTGTTATTGATATTTCCAATATTGCGTAATGATTCGATCACTAAATCGAACTCGCTAGTTGCAATAGCGATACCTGGGTATTTTTCAAAATAGGACCCTAACTCTTGAATTTGGCCTATTGGCAAATTCAACGCTACTAAATACTTCTCATAATATTTGATTGCCTCTTCGTTATTACCTAGCGAGTTGTTAGCATTTCCTATGTTGTAATATGCTCTAGCTTCTGCATGGGTTGCGCCTAACGCAACGGCAATACTAGCAACCTGCTTGTAGCATTCAATTGCTTCAGAATATTTGCCTAATGCAATGTAAGCTGCTCCTAAACTGTCCTGAGCAGCTCCTTGAGCAGCATTATCTCCATGTTCAATGGCAATAAACAATTGTTCTTTTAGGCTGACGATCTCACCAGCTTCCAGCTCTGCCATAACAACGGGCAGTCTTCAGCTTAGATCCAACAGACGAGTATCTTTCTAGAATAGCTGGACCTCTGAAAATCATGTGGAAACTTATTAAAAATTAAATTATTTACCTGAAAGAAAGAAAATTGTTAAAAATAATTATTTTTTAAAAGTTTTGTTTCCAGTTTTGGTTCTGAAACTTCTATAACACGAACACGGAGTTATATTTTACGGATTCTTACCCGTAGTAGTTCTTCACAACATTAAATCGGTTTCTGTGTTATGTTCTGAAGACAAAATCGGAATTTCTATYATTTGTAAGCTGTCTTACTTAATCTTTGCCTTTGTTTTGTCTTATGTTAATTACTTTAACACCATGCAGTTTGTATTTTATATTGCGTCGGTGTTTCTAAAGAAATAAGTAGTCGAAATAAATTACTGACGWTTCGGACGAATGATTAACGTCCAAAACGTCAGTGAGTTACTTCACCTATTTTTTTAAAGTGATAAAACTAACCGTAATGCACAAAAAAACTGTTTCTTTAGAAACACCGACGCAGCCCATACTAGGTAACCGCTAGTTTCCACCATCCTGACGCAAATAGCACCGACTCGATTTAAATATGAAGTTAAGACCCTTTGTATAAGGACACGAGTCGTATTCAGTTTTTGTTAGAATGTATGAATGTGTACAACTTCTATTACACAAATATAACGGGCAGCAAAGTTCTYAGATGACTATATATTTAAAAATGTTACAATTTGCTTGAGATACTTTGTTTTATAGCAACAAAAAGTTCRAGAAAACTATATACAGTCAATACCATTAACGTTGTTCWGTTGAAAATTCATAAACACAAAAACAAAGTCATTTTCATAAACGATTTTTAAAATTYACAAGAAAATCAAATATTATTTACATTGTAAAGAACTTTTGGAATTTTTATGTTGAATATTCTTGCAAATAAATTAAAAGTATAATATATGCAAATGACTTTGTTGTGTTCTTTACGCCTTTACAAGTGTACAGCGATAATGTTATTGACTATATCAATTTCCTAACTTTTGTTTTAAATTTCAGAGCGACACTTTTAGTGTTGCAATATTTACTTAAAGCAAAGATCTTCACCGAAAATTCATATGAATGATTTTGTAATGSTCTAGCACACATTCCTAAATGTTAGTCAGTCGAAATAAATGATCGATTGAAAATAAATGTCTTGCAMTTTTGCATTATTAGGATAACAAATAAGATTTTTTTGGTCTGTCATTGCTTAAATGTAGCCGAGTCTAATCGAACAACATCATTTGTATATTGTATCTTCGGAAAACATTTTTAAAATTGAAAAGARATTGTTGTTTTCATTGTTGTTTTCATTTACAAAAGGAAAAGATACATTATAACKGAATCGCGGTGTAGTCTAAAACCCAATAACAAGGACCTAATTATGAATTATAGTGAKGTTATATTCACTTTCCTATCATCTAGGTTCTTAGGATCTTTACCATATTTCATAGACAACATTTGCGATAGCAAATAAATGATCAACAAGTAAGAGAAACTTAATGAGGTCGTTAAACAAGCAGTGTATATGCTTGTTAGAAYGTCAAAACCTAGCATTCCCATCACTTTATAATTTTAGTACAACCTTAGGGTTGGGGTTAACGAACAGTTTTACTTAGGCTTAAGATTCATGACCTTCCGAATTGTAAGTTTTAAATGAGGATAATAACGTACCTTTTTTGAAACAAAAATCAAGTGCAAAATCTTTGAGTTCTTGTCTGTAACGGTATATGAATATCTCTGTGGTCAATGAACTTTAGTTGATGKTGCTCGGTGATTWAATGACTTCTAGTTTGGACAGGAGTGAACAGGAAAAACTTTCTACAAGGACCTTTTAGTGACGAATATACTTTCAAGCAAAATAACTTTTACGCTTGATAATCGAGAACAATAAAAACGCTTGCACTCTAAAACCACTTGACAATGTGTCACCACGATTCTTATTAATTCTAATTAAAAAACTTATCCTTGTTTACGACAGAGCTAATGAAAAGTGAAAGAAAAAATATTTTGTAAGACAGTAATATTATAGCGTAGCTCCCGCGCCGTCCGAGCGAGCGGAGCACCAAATCTAAGAAAAAATGGTTCATCTATCGAGGCTTTTTTTCGTGAACCACACAGGGGTCCGCACATACACACGTTCCRCCGTCCGCCTTTGAACCACCACAGGAAACCCATAYTCCGCGTGAAAAAGTAAAAACGCTTTTGTTGAAACTTCGGATTTTTTCCTCAAACATTTCTCTTCCAAATTGTTAATATTATAAAAAATAATCACAAAATAAAACACATGCAGGGGATCAAGTGGGAAATGATCAAATGGTAAATATTCCCAATGAAATCACAAGCAAGTAAATAAATGGAAATAATATTCAATAAAAACCCATCCATGGGATGWTAAATCCTCTTGGGAGCAAAACGTCAAAACATAAGTTAGGTWAAGGTGACACTAACAAAACACAGCAACAAGTCGACCAGAACATAAGGTGATCGTAGTACTGGGTGTTAAGCCCTCGAAAAATTGTTAACATTAAGTGATCCGTTATCGGTTCTCTTGATGCCGCGAAATACTTGTTGAAGCCTCAGGCAATCTGATAGGGSATCCGGAAAGCCTTGCTCTATATGCAACGAACGGACAGCTGATAGGTAGACTTTGATCGAGCGGTGCTGAATACGACCAGCGAGAAAGGTGATAAARAGGCAAAGGGTATCTTCYGACGCTGKGCATGGSCGCCTAATGCCCTGTTGATCKCAGAAAGTCAAGAATGTATGCTGAGCCGTACGGTAGGTTCTTCACAGTTTGCATCCTACTTACAATATACTAATAAATATTTATGCATTCAGACTTCTGTCGCTTCTGTATCGACTGAAGACATAGCYGGAACCAGCTCAGCATCTTCCCCACAAATATTAACAAGCAAGGTATGTTTTAATTTATATTGACAGGCACTTGACGCATGCGTTGTTCTTTTACAATTATAGTCTAATTGATTTAATAGAATTTCAACCTTGATTATAGGTATTCACATTTTTCGTTTTTAATAGCAAAATAATGAATATAAATCTGGAAATAATTTTACACATTTTGAAAGACAGCCTTCACATTTATACCATGGAGACTCCCTAAGCACTGATTCTAGAATTCGTTGTTTTCATGYATCTTTCGGACCTCAGTACTTCACACTAAATAATTTCTCCAAGATATATTTTCATGTTTCGAAACCTTCATTCATTCAAGATTAAACTGATTGTTTTTTCTTGAGAAAATAGTTCGTCGCACATAGCAAAAATTTTAATTTAACAAGGAGTACTTTTGAGCAGTCGTTTTATGCCGTTAAGAATAAAACTCGTTACTAAATCAATGTGGGTTTAAAAGAGCTGAAACTTGTCAAGAATTATATTTATAGATTGATAAACTTGTGGGGGAAACTTGAAATCACTAAGCATTTTTGTCTTGAATTTGTGAGCTTTCATAGTTGATGTGAATTCCTACCGAAAAATATGTGAATTTCAGTCGTTGATAAATATTGTCGCTTTTCTCGAAAACTAGACCGTATTTCATCAAACTAACTACACAGCGTTTATTCTTACATTGAGGGTTATCAATGTGCAAAATATGAGCGAAATCTATTTTTCGAGCTTTGCCGCGATTTTTGCAAAATGTCCGATTTTTACAGRCAACTGCTCTTAAGGGTTCATGGTAAAAGAAATTGCAAAACCGCTTCAAAAAACTCCAAAGAAAGAAGGCAAACATGGASAGCAGTACCAGTTCTTCAGATGGGGACAAAGGAGGGTGCCCCAAGAAAACCTCTAACACTAAGGCCTGGTGTGAAGTACCAACTATGGAAATGCAAGAAGAGGGAGTTCCTGCTTTGGTAAAAGAAATAAAAAAAAGAATGGAAAAAGAGCAGAAAAGATCACGCAGTAATACAGGACCTAATAAGTAAGACATATTTTGTGAGGAGAAAAGCTGTCCTAGTTGATACGAGKCCCATTTACTCCATCATTACAGAGTTTCCTCCTATGAAGAATATGTTATATGTAAGTAATTTTTGGAATATTGTTTTATTGTATGTTATAAAATAACTTAGATACTACGCGCGTTCTGATTGGCCGACTACGRTGTTTTCATAACAGTATGAAGGCATGTTTGACGTCACCAGTTTTCAGTGCGAATTTTAAAACTACRACTAGATTAGAAAAAAGCCGAAAACTTATCAGAAAATCTAGAWACAACCAGATAAGAAATATTCTGCATGTCAGGATTTCTTGTTTCTTGTAGCTTTTGAGTGCATATAAACGGATAAC